CTTGAATGTTTCCTTCATTGCTAGAATTTCTGCTTTTTTCATTGAATTATTTCTATATCTTTGGAGAATTTTTCATTCATTTCCTGGATTGTTCTTGTGGTTTCTCTATGTTGGGGTTCTATTTTCTCTTTGATTCTGTTGAGCTTTCTAACAATCCATATTCAGAATTCTTCCTCTGTTAGTTTAATCATATCATGTAAGTTTGTGGAGAATGAGTATTTTCCTTTTGAGGTGACATTTCTCTTTCATCTTTCATCGTTCCTGATCTTTTTTGCTGGTTCTTCCTTATCTGGATATTTTGTTGAGGACCATAGTTTCTGGAAGTCCTTTATAAGCTGTGATCTTGAGTTCCAAAGGAATGATCCTTGGGAGACCTGGGGAGGATGTGTTCTTGTCCTGTATCATCTCTCCCAATGGTTCCTTGAGTCCTCAGGAAAAGAAACCTCCTTCACTTCTCTGCCTTGCTAAGACAGACTATAGTCTCTGGGCACAGAATGCCAACCAATGACTGCAGCAAGATACCACTCAGGTTCAAACTTGTGAGATAGCTGCCGACCAAGGCACCACTCTCAACTTTCCACCCTTATAAATTCAGCTTTCAAGGCCTCCTTTCTGTTTAGGGAAGAGGTGAAGACTGAGTTTGCTACCAGGGCAGCCCTCCACGGCATTTTCATGCTAAGAAGCGGCTCAGCTTAGCTGGGAAGCAGCTGCTGGTTTTGGACCCTCTCCCACTTGCTACTGCTTCAGTGGAGCGTTGGGAGCTCAACAAGTTGCCTTCTCCAGAGACCCAAACATATCAGCCAGTTTAGGGTAGAAGAGGTGCCAGAGAAATGCTTCCAGCATGGCCCCCCATAGCGTCTCCAAGCTTCGGGGCAGTGTGGTAGTGCTAGGAAGTGGCTGCAGGGTTTGGACCCTTTCCCCTCCCTCTACTGGTTCAGTGGGGTTCTGGCGGTTCAGAAATGTGCCTTCTCCAGCTTCTCGAAGAGTTTGTATGTTTTAGGGTAGTAAGGATGGCTGGAAAACTCTTCCAGCACTGCCCTCCACAGCTTCTCCAAGCTGCGGGGTCAGGGCTGCAGGGCTGGGGAGCGGGCACAGAGCTTGTCCTTTATGCCCACCCACCACCTCTTCAGCAACGCTGTGACCTCGAAAAGCTGCCCTCTTCAGAATCAGGAACAGTTCAGCTGGTTTGGGGCAGTGGGGAGGCCCGGAGAGCACCTGCCGCAGAGCTCTGCATGGCGTCTCCAAGCCTCAGGGGCAGGATGGTGGGGCGGGGGAGCGGGTACAGAGCTTGGCCATTTTCCCTACCCACTACTGCCTCAGTGGCGCTGTGAGCTCGATAAGCTGCCCACTCCTGAAGCAGGAACAGTTCTTCTGGTTTGGGGCAGTGGGGAAGCCCAGAGAATGTCTCCTGCATGGCTCTGCATGGCGTCTTTAAGCCGTGCAGACAGGGCGGTGGGGCTAAGGAGCAGGTGCTGGTTTCAGCCCCTTCCTGCACTCCCCACTGCTTCAGCAGGGCACTGTGTAGAATTCAAAATGCTTCCTGCTCCAGACTCCTCTCCAAGCCTCTCGTCTGCCCACGTTTCCACCTCCCATCAACTTCAGGGAATTCCATGCCTGCGTGGAAGTGGGGATCGGTGGGGAAGGGATTGTCTCCTTGTGTGGGGGAGAAGGGATACTTCCTCCGGCCAGCCCGTGGGGTGGCAGATGCGTGGGCACACTCCCTCCCCACTATACTTCCAACTCCCCGGATTTTGTGAAAGAATTTTGGTTCACATTTGATTGTTGTCCACGATATCCATATCCCAGTGTCTCTTTGCAGTCCTTTGAAGCTGCTCCAGAGTAGGTGCAGATGGCCTGCATCTAGTCGTCTGTCCTCTTCACCCCTCACCCCAAGACCTGAGAGCCAAGAGGTCAGCCCAATCTGCCATTTTTCTGAAACTCCAGACATTCTTCTATTTTTATGGTGATTTTGATTTTTAGGATTTCCTTTTGATTCTTAGAGTTTTCATCTCTCTGCTTACTTTACAGATATATGTTTGCATGTTGTCTGTCCACTTTTTCCATTATACCACTAAGCATATTAATGATAGATGCTTTAAATTCTCAGTCTGATAATTACAACATCTCTGTCATATCTGGGTATGGTTTTGATGCTTTCTATCTTTTCAAACTATGTTTTTTGTCTTTTAGTATGCATTGCAATTTTTGTTTTCAAGTCAGGCATCATGCACTGAATAAAAGCAACTGATAAAAATTGGCCTCTACTGGAAGGTTTTGTTTGCCTGGCTAGGGATTAGTCCATGTTTGCTGTTTGCTGTAACTGCAGGTGTCAGATGTTAAATTTTCATCTGGTATTCTTATTTTTATTCCCAATGTTGTCTTTGGGCTTCCCTAAAAACTTCTTAAATAACACCTATGATATACAATTCTTCTAATGTATTCCCCTGTTATATAGAAGCTTTATTAATGTAGTGGTGAAATGCATGTGGGCAAGAGGAGAAAGCACTCTGTAGTCATATGATTAGGTCTCAGTCATTTAGTTTGCCTGTCTTCTCAGTTTTATTTTATTTTTTCTCTTTAGGTAGGACAGGAAGCCTAGAGGGGGCTGGAGTTGGATATTTTATTTCTCCCAAGTCAGGGCTGTTAGTCTCTGATAAAACTCCAATCAGTTAGACTTTGATAAAATAGTTTCTTCAAGGGCATTCTTTCTAAGAAGAAAAGAATGCTTTGGGAGTAGTATTTCAGGATGACTACTTTTCTCATAACCCTACCAGAAGCATGGTGGGCATGGATTTTTCTCCAATCTTCACTATGAGAACCTGTCAACACTCCTGAGAGTAAAACACATGAAAGTGTGGGCCTACCTAAGACTGGACCGACTTCTGAAATTTTGACTCTGAGACATTTCTACACTGAACCTCCAGCAATTCATCAACTACAATTTAGGTTTTCCTTCCTCTGTACTGGTTCCCATAGAGTTTTCTTCTCCTAGGCTTCTCCTAAGTTTTGATTCTCTATATATGTCTGTTTTTCTCTTCAATTTTGTGACCTCAGTGTTATGATAGATCTAAGAAAGGTTAATTTTCAGTTTGTTCAGATTTTTTTTCTTATTGTGTGAATGACAGAAGTAATTTTCAAACTCCTTACATGCCATATCATAAACCTGAAGTCACACTTAACATTTTTAATCATCACAGTAACCTTACAAGGCAGGTTTATTTGTTATGGCCATTATACAGCTAAGTAAACTGAACATCTACTTCATGTGATCAACGTTATATAGTAAAAGAAGTGTAAAATGGTAGAAGTACTGCTCAACCATAAAAAGGGTGAACTAATACATTTTGTAACAACCTGGATGCAACTAGAGACCATTCTTCTAAGTGAAGTATCTCAAGAATGGAAAAACAAATATCACATGTACTCACTATTAAATTCCAACTAATCAATCAACACCCATGTGCACATATAGTAGTAAAACTCAACAGAAAACAATCAGGCAGAAGGCAGGAGGAGGGGATGGGAAATTCACATGTAATGGGTACAATGCAAGTTATCTTAGTGATGCTCACACTTATAACTTTGACTCAAACTGCACAAAAGCAAATCATGTAACCAACATGCTTATACCCCATGATATTCTGAAATAAAAAAAGAAGTGTCAAGGGTCTATTTGACTCTAGTATCTACAAGTTTAAACTTCATATTTTGCTAACCCACATATACATACGTTTAGGTTTGATAAAAGTCTTGTAATTTCTAGTCTCTAATACACTCTCTTATGTTTCCCTTCTACATCATTTACAGCTCATTCTTAATTTCCTTTGCTAGCTACTTCTGCTCTGTTCACCTTCAACATGTCAGAGTTGACCAAGTCCATTATGGGCCCCAGTTTGTCTCTATCAACACATACATCCTGGGTTTTTGCATCCATTCTTAGATACTGTAGATAGATCAAATACAATACCATGTTTTTGATAACAACTCCTAAATTATCACTAGCTCAGATCTTTGCTCTGATCTAGATACATATCCAATAGGCCACTTGACACCTCTGGTGGATGTCTCACAAACATCTTAAACATAATATGCTCAAAATGGTATTCCTAAATCATGCTGCTGACATTTGCCCTCACTCCAGATTTCTCCATCTGAATAAATCTCTGTGCTATCCCTCCAGTCAGAAAACCTGGAATTATTTTTTATTTTTATTTTTAATTTTATACCAACATCTTCATTTCCGGTTGGAAATTACCAGCAAGTCATGTTCAACTATACCTTTACTATGTCTCTTGTATACCATCTACTTTTCTTCATCTCAACAAACAGTAGTTGAAGCCATTATCATTTGTCTCCTAGACTTCTAAAATAGACTCCTAATTTCTCTGTTTGCTTCTTCTTTTGTTCCTCTACATTATCTGGCCTGCACCAACCTTTCTGATTTCATCTCTAGCTCCTCTCTGTCTTACACACTACTCTGGCTTCCTTTCACTTCACTGAGCACACTAAGCATGCTCCCATCTTGTGTTCCCTCCACCTAGAATACTCTCTGCAACACCCACTTCCACTCCCAATGAATAGTTAGCTCTGATTGACCCTCTGGGCTTCATTGCAAATATTGCTTCCTCGGAGAGGATTTCTATGACTACATCTGCTATATTCCTGCATTAACACAGTTCCTAGCCTATAGTTATGAGAGCTCAACGTTTTTACATTATTTTGTCACCTTTGTCTCCATAATAAGTAGGTCTTAGCTAAACCAGCTTTACTAACTCACATCCTCTTGCTCTCTGTCTCTCTCCCTCTCTCCCCACCCATACATGTATGCAAAAGAATTCAGGATATGACTTTTCATTGCCCATCATGCTCTTCAACAATCTGTGATGCATTTTGCAACTTCTCTTACCATAAACAGTTAAGCATTGCTTTCTCAGATGTGTGTGCAATAGTATCTCTACACCTCTCTTTAGAGGAATTTTCTACAAAAATGTCCAACTCACCAGAACTTCCACCTACAATATGCCATAAATCATATGGGTTGTGGAATCGGCCATAGATCTTGTTATTGGATTCATACCACATGAAAAATTCACTACAGTTGGTTATGCCAGGGTGAAAAGCACCAGCTTCCTTTAGTAATGCCACCACAGTGGCATCTGTTTTGGAAATGGCATCACGACAGTTCATGAGGCCAGAAGAATTGGGCATTCCTATAAGGGTCACAGGAGAGGAAGCAAAAAATTCTTAAATAAAAATTTACAAAAGCAACTATTTATTGAGTACCTAAAATGAACCAACCCAGCTATAATTCTAGGTAATTTGCTTAGTACTAAAAGGTAGCATGACATATTGAGAAGTACACAAGCTTTGGAGTCAGAACTGAACAACTTTATACCTATCCAACTCTTCATACTTGGGGAAAATTATTTAACTTTTTTGAATTTCAGTTTTTATGAGAATTACATGAGAGAATAAATGTATAGTGTTCAAACTAATTTGATAAATAGCAGGTTTTATTAAAAAATTATCATCCAACAAACCAAACTGTTAAGTACTTATATTAATCCATCTAAGAGATGAATAGTCTTAGGGAAGTAAAATGACTGAACCAAGGTCATACAGAAACACAACAGAAAGGGTCAGAAAAGAACTCAGGTATATATGAAACTTGGCATAAATGTGGCATTTAGATCCACAAGAAAAGAATGATTTACTGATCTAAATTAGATAGGAAAAAAATCAGAAAGATAAAAAATAGAAAGAAAATGAAAAGGAAAGTAAAAGATCAGAAAGAAAAGAATAGTACTAAGAAAACTAGCTTTCAATATGGAAATTTACATATCCCTACATCATATTAAAAAATAACAGCTAAGTGCACATATAGGAATAACATGAATCAGGAATCAGGCAGATGGGAGGGGGAGTAGTGGATAAGTATATACATACATAATGAATGTGATTCACACTTTCTGGGGGATGGACATTCTTGAAGCTCTGACTTGGGGGATCAAGGGCAATATACATAAGCTAAACATTTGTACCCTTGTCATATGCTGAAATAAAAAATAAAATAAAATATGGATAGAGTAAACACTTAAATGTGAAAAATGAACCGTCAAAAATATTAGAAGACACTATATGTAAATATTTCCATAACCACAAAGTTGGACAATATTTTGTAAATAGGACATAAAGGAAGAAATTATAAAATACAAAATTCATTCACTCCAAAATATTAGAAACTTTTGTTTAACAAAAGTAGTCATAAAGTTAAAAGACAAGCAACAAACTGGGAGAAGTTATTTGCAACATAAACATTAAAGGATTGGTAACCAAAATATAGCAAAACTTCATATGGATCAACAATAAAAAAACAAACATGCCAATATAAAATATGCAAAGAAAATTAACAAAAATTATACAAAGAATGCTGAAAGGCCAAAAAACATATGAGAAGAATCTCAGTCTCAAAAGTAATTAAGTAAATTTCAAGAAAAAATCAAACAATCCCATTAAAAGTGGGCAAAGGACATGGACAGAAATTTTGCAGAGGAAGACAAAATAATGGCTAGCCAACATATAAAAAAGGATTCAATATCTCTCATGATCATGGAAATGCAAATCAAAACGACAACAAGATAGCTCTTAACTCCAGTGAGAATGGCTTTTACCAAAAATATCCAACATCACAAATGCTGGTGTGGATGTGGAGGGATAAGAACATTCTTACACTGCTGGTGGGACTACAAATTAGTACAACCTCTATCAAAATTAATATGGAATAGCTCTGTCTTTCAAGATGACTACTCGCCTTCTCTTTCAAAAAACTCTTAATTTAGTGACTTATGGCAAAATTTTATCTTTAATCAATGTGATTCTTTCTTGTTTTGGGAGACGGTGAAGGTATCCCCATTAGTTTGTTCTTTCTTCAGGCTTGTATCTATAGTTGCATGGCTGTGCAGGCCTGCCATATGATTTAAGCCATCTCTTTTCATTAAATGTTTCTCTTCCTGTGAGAATTACTAAAGCAACTTAGTGGCAAAAGTAATGTTGTACTTATACTTCTGTACAGAAATGACAATGAGTTGAATATATGGTTTTACAAAGTAGACATCCACTTGTGAAATGTTTGGATTTAATGTTAAAGCACAATGTGCAAAATTTAAAATAAAGAATATTTATTAATATACATAGTAAAAAATTAATATAGAGATATCTCAAGGAACTAAAAATAGAAATACCATTTGATAATCTCACTACTAGCGATCTACCCAAAGGATAAAATGTCAATTTATAATAAAGACATATGCAATTGAATGTTTATAGCAGCACAACTCATAATTTGCAAAGATGTGGAAACTACCCAAGTGCCCGTCAATACATGAGTCAATTAATAAAATGTGACATATACATATATGTAACATATGCCATGATACATATATGTATATATGTGTGTGTATATATATATATATATATATATATATATATATATATATATATATAATGGAGTACTACTCAATCATAAAAAAATTAATGGTGAACTAGCACCTCTTGTATTATCCTGATTGGAGCTAGAGGTGATTCTACTAAGTGAAATATCAAAAGAATGGAAAAACAAGCACCACATGTACTTACCATAAAATTGGTACTAACTGATCGACATTTAGGTGCACACATGTAAGTAATATTCACTGGGTACTAGGCAGGTGGAAGGGAGCTAGAGGGAATGGGTAAATTCATAACTAATGGGTGCGGATCACACTGTCTGTGGGATGGACACACTGTAGCTCTGGCGTGGGTGACGCAAAGGCGATATATATGACAAAAACGTTTGTGCACCCATAATGTTCTGAAATTAAAAAAAGAAAACAAGAAAAAAAGCAATTAAGGAAATCTCAAATTAAAACTGTAATGAGATTCCATTCCTCACCATTGTGCAGAAAAAATATAGAGAAGTGGAACTAGTTTCATACTTCTAGTAGTATGTAAACTGATAAGAGAGTATGTTAAACAATATCACAACATCTAGTAAAATAGATGTTTTATACCATATAAACCAGCAATACCACAATTAGATATATATCCAGAAAAAAACTCTCATAAATGTACATGTTGTTTATAATAGAAAAAAATAGAAACTATCTAAGTAAAAGAATAAAAAGATTAATTTTACTTTATTGACAGGATGATATAATTTCAGAGATGAAAATAAAAGAAATAAGGACACATTCTTATGATTCACGTATGAAATTCCTCTTCTGTCATTTTGGTTGCTTGATTTTGGTTGGTGTCCGTTTCTAGGGGGCTGGTGCTCCTCTTTGGGGGTGTGTTTTCCGTTTGGTTCTTCATATTTCCTGAATTCCTTAGCTGATTTCTTCCCATGTTGATCAGTTGTTGTTGCTTTCCTTTAGGTTTTTGTTTGGGTTTACACATGCCTTGTTTAGTTTCTGAGCCGGAAGGTGGTGTCTGTGGGTGGGATTCAAGCACTCCCTGTATAATGAGTCAGTAGGTACCGTGAAAAGGATGTGCAGGATGTCCTCCCTGTCAGTAGGTGGCGCTTGCTTGGAGGAACAAGCTACGCTGTTGTTTTTGTGTCCTGTTATCAGCTCTTGTTCCTGTAGAGGGGCACTCTGGTGACTCAGGTGGTCGGTGGGGCCCTTGGACTTCCAGGTGTGTCCTTTTCTCCCCCTCAGTGAGGACTGGTCTAGGAGAGAGTCTGGGCAGAGGTGGGTTGGGTAAGCCTGCCCTCAGGCACCACCAATATCATTAGCAGGGGTCAAAATTCTGTTCTCTGCTTCCAGAAAAAGCTGTCAGGGAGGGGCTGGAATGGCCCCACTCAGTCAGAAAGTCTGTGTGTTGGGGTGGGGATGTCTGAGACCTGCAGTCTGGAGTGGGCCTCACTTCTTTCCACTCTCCCCAACTCTGCAGCTACTCCTGGGCCTCTGCCAGCAGGCCAGACCACACGCCACCAAGCCTCCCCAGACTGTGATGCCAGTGGGGAGGTTCCCCGCGCAGGAACGCCACCTGGGCTGGGCGCACGGCCTCCTTTTGGGAGGAGGGTTGCCCTCTAGGATGCTGATCCACCCCTGAAGGCACACACACCTCAGTAGGCTGTTCACGTATATCCCTTCTGTGCCTCGGGCAATGGGAGACCTCAGTGCACGGGATCTGGTCTGCAGGTCTGATCTCTGGGTCCCAGAGTGCAAACTGTATCCCAACCAGGGAGAGCAGTGCCAGTCCAATTCGCCCACAGGGAGCCCAAGCTGGGTCTATGTCTCTCATTCTCAGGGTCTGCCCTGTTCTCCTGGGATCATTGTGCCAGTAGCACCTGGGAGGGCTGGCGGGTAGGGAGCTCACAGTCTGAGTTCCCCTGAGTCAGCTGTAGGGTCCCAAAAGGGAAGGTCCCGTTCACTGGAGGTGCCTCTGGCTGGTGGCTATATTGTCTCTTGGGGCAGCTGTGTGTAGGGTTGGCAGAGGGGAGAAGGAGGCAATATAGCGCCTGCCGCGTGGCTCGGGTCTGTGCACACGGAGGTGCCCCAAGGTATTTGGGAGCCTGGTGCAGCATCCCTTACAGGCTTACTGCTCACTGGCGCTGGCCGTCTCTGGGCTGTTGTCTGCAGATCTCTCCACCCGCTGGGGAGCCCACCAGCAGTCCCAGATGCAGGGGAGGGGAAAGGTGACTGATCCACCTACCCTTCCCACAGGGTTCTGGGCTGCTCTGGCGGTCTCAGCTTCCAGTTCTCCTTTGCAACCTCCTCCCATGGAATCTCCCATGGTCTCAGGTACCCCTCCTTCTAGCCCTCGTCTGCTGTATGCTTCTCTTTTTGCTTCTTTTTTATAATTTCTGCTAGAATCTGTCTTTTCTGCAGAGACACTCTGTCTGGAGTTGTTTCTTGTCTGCCATATTGATCCTCAATGCTTGTTTGGGTACTTTTTGATAAAAGCCATTCTCACTGGAGTTAAGTGATATCTCATTGTGGTTTTGGTTTGCATTTCCCTGATGATTAGAGATGTTGAACATTTTTTCATGTTTGTTCTCCATTATTCTGTCTTCTTTTTAGAACTTTCTGCTCATGTCCTTTTCCAATTTTTTATTAGGGTTGTTTGATTATTTCTTGCTGATTTCCCTGAGTTCTAAATAGATTATAGTTATCAGCCCTTTGTCAGATGTGTAGCTTGCAAAAATTTTCTCTCATTCTGTAGGTTGT